CCATCCTCCTTCTCTTCGCCCTCTAAGGGGAAAAATGGAGCACGAGTACGGTCCACCTCATGTCTGGGGGCTCGGCAGCGCTTGGAAGTAAGGGACACCCGGTCAGACACGCCAGGACAAAGAACACTAATCACCGCCAGCCCGCACCACGAGATCTCGAAGGCGCACGACGAGCACAGCGAGTACAGCATCGAGCAGAAGTGCGAGCTGGTGCTGTGATGGAAGGTGCAGAAAGTAATTCAGGAGGGAATGAAGAAAATGACATCCGCGCTCAAAGGACGTCGCAAATTCAGCGCATGATGATCCAATCCATCAGTCGGCGGCGAGCCCAGGGGAGAAGCGTGAAGGGGCGGGCCTTCTCGGAAGGCTCGAAAGTCCACTGGTCTGCTGGGAAATGTTCTAGGCTTTCCCTGCAGACACAGAAAACTTCTCAGAAGGCGCGAGGGCTTCTGAGAAGTCATCGCCGCCCTCTGAGAAGGCCTTCTCCGTCTCACTCTCCCCCCCCGCTCGCCGCAAAATCAAGAGAGTGGATCGCACGGCGGCGAAGCAGGGGCGGGCGTCGCCCACGTTCCTGGAACGCGAGATGCAGAACGTGCTTCAGACCACGGAGGCGTCCTCAGCAAAACTCCTCGTGTACCACGTGCGTGTTTCCTCGCCCGACGGCATGGAGGATTACCCGCGGATTGCTTCGGGGGTGGCACGGTCAGTACCGCAGAAGATGTGGAGTTGTAGTCGGGTCCTCCGTGCCCTTCGTCTCTCCCTGACCGTGAGACTGACAGTGTTCCCTGGCTGCCGTTTCTGACTGCTGTTGCTGAGAGGATGTTCAAAACTCGACCCAATGAAACAGCAGCTGGAAGTGTTCGGCAAGGCAGACCTGCTCGCCCATCTGGGCTTCGTCATGTCACAAATGTGTTGGCCACTCGCCGCATGGTTCAAGGCACGCCTCAGTTTCAGGCAATGGTGAGAAGTGGTAGTGACAGGGTGCACGACATGACGAAGCAGTGGTATAGACACCAGCAAAGTAAATAGAATTAACAACAGGTTCTTCCCACCGGATTTGTTTCACGGCTAACATATGCATCTGCGATTCTCCTCTCGTCTGCCTCGTCGTCTCGGAACTTATCGCCTCTCCGTCTCTCTTCGTCGTCAACGTCCTGCCCGCTTCGTATCCTGGTTTCTTCTCTCGCCGCAGTTCTCATTGAGTCCTGGGCTAATTCGGAATTTCCCATCACGGTCCCCTCAAACGTCGGAGATCGTGGGACGTGTCCTCTGGAGTCAGTACGACTCCGTACGGTACCGTCCTGTCGCCTTGAAGCCCAGCCTCTTGGCACGCGCCTGGCTTGATCCGGCTCGCCGATCCAAGAGGTCACTCGGAAGTCAATTCGTTATTTCGCCCAGTGATGATTTTCATGTGAGCTGTAGTGCACAGCGCGCTCCTATTCCAACAGACATCGATTGGAACTTATGGTGATTGTCTGCCTGTAGCTCCTTCATGTCGCACCCCCAGACGCGTCGGTAGGGCGGGCTGGGCGTTTCGCCTGAGAGTCCCCAACCATCTGTGACAACGCAACTTGAGATCTCACCAGCCCGCTGGGCGGAGGTGGTATTACGGCTCTTCTCTTTCCTCTTCCAAAACGTGCCAGTCCCTATTTCGGGGAGGGGGTGCTCCTCGCCCTGTCCCCCCCCCCCGTCCCCCCAGGGCTCAGACGGGGGGGGGGGCCCTAGGCTTCGGGGGGCACTTGGAGCATCATGTGGATGGCCCCCGATGCTGCGCCAAGGTAGCCCCCAAGACAGAGGAAGGCAGCCGAAGCTACTTCGAGATAGCCCGCGACACACCTCCGAGGTGCCCTGATGCGGGGCCGCCTGCGCGGATAAAGGGCGGCCCATTCCGTGATCAATGGGGGCTCTGGCGCCGGACTGCTTCGAAGCTCATGACCGGGCACGCACCGGGTGCTGGCAGAGCTGGGTTTGGTGGGGCCCGGTTTCGTGATGCGTGCTGGGGGACGCCCTCCCCGCCCCATGCCACTGAACGGAACCGCCGTCACCTGAAAAGCACCAGCTACGGCAGACCTGGTTCAGCGATCCTGGCCTATGTTCGGGGTTCGGGGCACTGATCAACGACTGGTTCCAGATGAGGGCCCTGGCTATACTCGAACGCAAGCTCGTGCAACACTTACACAGAGAGGAGTCGGCCATATTGCAGAAGGGGGATCACTGGACACCTCGCTGCAACTGTGGTCATGCCATGCCCTCTCCGAGCGCATGATTATTCGCCAGAAGGATACGAGGAAGCTCCTTTTCAAAACGGGGCGATCGCCTGCATAGCAGGAGCATGGGAAGTTGGCGATTCGAGGGGACGCTGCTGGTGGTGGAAGCGAAGACCTGCAGTGACGTGCGAGGAGGAGCGTGGGACGGAGAGGTACGTTGCGTCATCGCTGATGCACTTTAGAAATGCTCCTCCTCCTCTTCCTCCGCCTCCTTCCTTTTGGGCGCAATGCGGTGAGGACGTGTGATGAAGAATCGTCAGAAAAGAATGCAAGGTCTGAAAGCCCGTGGACTCCAATCGTGGACTGGCCATGGATATCAAGACCGCGCTCATTTGATAAATAGCACTCCAGCGTCTGAAGCCTCCTGGGCACGTTGATGAAAGAACGCCTCATCCGTTACCATGCGACGTACCCAACCCATCTGCTCTAAGTGGCAAGGGGGGCTTGTCCAGACTTGTACGGATGATGACAATACGAGGTAGGTAGGCCATTGGCTGCGCACAATATATGGGACGCGCGCGAGTTGCACGACTCACGAGATAGCATCGGAAGGACGATGGTGGAGCCCCAGAGTCGAAGAGGAAACGGGGGTGGGGACGAGGGGCAAGAAAAAGACTGAAGAAATGCCGAACAAATAATGCGACACCAACAGCGAAACGGCAGAAGGGGAAAAGAAGGACAACGAAAGAGAAAGGATGAGATAGGATGACGGCGATCACCTTCCACTAGTATGCTGGACAAGCTGCAAAGTCCGCGCCAGGCCGCTCTGGCGCTCCAAAGGATCAGCTGAGCGATGACGAGCTTCCCTCCTGCACCATGCAGTGCGGGAGCTAAATGCCTGCAGGCGCGCAGTCATGTCCTCGGGCGGCAAGCGGGAAAGACAATCAAGGCGAACCTGAATCCGCGTAAGACGTCATTCCGCTGGATCCCCCAACAACCCTCAAAAGCGGAGACAATCTCGCAAATCGCAGCCCCCCCCAGGGATGGCAAGGTGTAGTCTCAAGCCGCGTGCGACCTCCTTCCGCTGGACCCTCCAGCAGCCTTCGAAAGTGGCGACGCGGTCGCAGATCGCCACCCCCCAGGGATGGCGAGGCCTCACCTGGATCCGCCGCGGTGTCACTCCGCTGGACCCCCCAACAGCCATTGAAGGTGGCGACAGGTTCGAGGTCCGTATTCCCCCAAGGATAATGAGAGCTAACCTGAATTTGCCGCGGACGTCACTGCTGGACCCCCAGCAGCCCACCAAAGTGGCGATGGTTTCGCAGTTCGCAGGCCCCCCCCAGGGAGGGTGAGGCCGAATCTGGATCTGCGTAGGACGTCACTATGCTGGACCCCCCTAGCAGTCCTCCCAAGGGTGGCGAGGTGCAATATGAAGGCGCATGCGACGTCTTTCCGCATGTCCACCCAACAGCCCTCGAAAGCGGCGACGGTTTCGCAGATCGCAGCCCCCTCCCCCCCAGGGAGGGTGGGTTCCGACCTGAATGCGTGTAGGGCGATACTGTGCTGACCCCCCAGCTGCCCACAACAAAAACGACAAACTCGCAGTTCGCAGCCCCCCCGGGATTGTGAGGTCGAACACGAATCTGCCGAGGACGTCACTATGCTGGACCGCCCAGCAGCCTTCCAAAGTTGCGACGGTTTCGCAGCTCGCAGACCCCCCGGGGTGGTGAGGCCTAATATGAATCTGCACAGGACGTCACTATGTTGAACTCCCTGGCAGCCCTCGAAATTGGCGACGGTTTCGTAGTTCGCATCACCCAGGTGTGGTGAGGACTACAATTGCGTAGGACGTCACTATGCTGGACCCCAGACAGACACCGAAAATGACGACAGTTCAGCAGTTCGCAGCCCCCCAAGGGACGGTGAGGTCTAATCTGAATATGGGGCCCTCGAGTGTGGCGACGGTTTCGCAGTTCGCAGCCCCCAGAAAGGGGGAAGTCTCATGTGAATTTACCGATGACGTTACTATGCTAGCCCCCCAGCAGCCCTCGACAGTGGCGATGGTTCCGCAGTTCGCGGCCGCCCAGGAAGGGTGAGGTCTAATCTAATTCTGCGCAGAACGTCACTACGCTGAACCACCCAGCAGCCATCGAACATGGCAACAGTTTCGCAGATCACAGCCATCCCAGGGAGGGTGAGGCCGAATCTGAATCTGCGGAAGACGTCACTATGCTGGACCCCCCAACAATCCACGAAAGTGGCAACAGTTTCGCAGATAGCAACCGCCCAAGGATGGTGAGGTCGAATCTGGATCTGCGTGAGACGTCACTACGCTAGGCACCCCTGCCGCTCTCGACTGCGGCGACAGGTTTAGAGTTCGCAGCCACCCAGGGATGGTAATACGTCACTATGTAAGGCCCGCCAGCAGCCCTCCGAAATGGCGACAATTTCGCAGTGATGGCGACGTAACACACAAAGTTGCAGGCAGGTAGGAGGTACAAACGAAAAGCCAACGCAGGAGGGTTGGGAAAAAAAACGGTACCGTTTCTCCCCGAGTGCGTTCTGATTTAGGTTTCAAATAAACCAGGCGTGGAGGCGAGGGCTTTCCAGAACGAGTCGCGGTATCGGTACGTGTCCCTCCCCTGACTTCTGGTCCTCCTCCCTCCTGTTCCTCTCCCTCCTCCTCCTCCTCCTCCTCTTCCTCCTCCTCCTCCTCCTCCTCCTCCTCCTCCTCCTCCTCCTCCTCCTCCTCCTCCTCCTCCTCTCCTGCCCCTCGCCCACCCTCATGCCCGCCGTACTTGTGATGGATGATCTCCCATGGCTGGCGCGCCGCATGCGCCCCGGCGCCGTGGATGTAGGGAGCCATGTCCTGCACCGCGGGCAGAGATCGCGCCCCCCACCCCTCAGTGCGGGGAGCCGGCGGACGGGCGTGCACTGATTCAGAGGGCGGAAGGAAAAACAGAGGGGCAAAGGGACGATGCGAAGAGAGGAAAAAAAACAACAACAACAACAACAGCAACAGCAACAACAACAACAACAACAACAACAACAACAACAACAACAACAACAACAAAAACGCCAAACCATGGGACCAGGGACATGTGAAGGAGACGGTGACGGCGAGGGTGCACGCAACAGTGTACACGCGAAGTGACTAAGCGGGGCGGGGCCGGAGTGCCCGAAACGCAAATAATCTGAAGCGACAGGCAAGGGCATCACGGCGAACAACCTCATTCATAATGGACCGAAAAATCAACCTCATTCCACTTTGGCGCTCTGGCCACGTGGATCCACTCATCTGTTTCGCCAGCAATGCCCACAAATAGCTCCGCGTGCCTGCGCATTTCATCGACCCATCGCGCATTTGGCTTCGGGTGTCTGCGACCTGGTTGTCGGGACTCCGCGTGCGGAGCGGGCTCCCGCAGCAAGACTCTTATAGGTCCGCTTATGGCAATCAAAAGCAATTTGCGTCGCCCATCTCAATGCCCCGCTTCTTTGGGTAGTGATCTAGTCGTCGATGTTCAGATTCTGCAGCAAGTGCTGCACCTCATGCGTAGTCCGCTTGACTCAGTCAACCCAGGGCTCGAGGTGACAATATTCGCGATGTTGGAAGCCCCTCATCAACGCAGCGTCGCGCGCGCCAGCATCGCTCGAGGTACTGCTCGTCGTAGAGGTCGGGGTATGGTCTTGGCATCCTGACCCGGCCGACTTTTCCCCATGCGCGGTTTCCTGTCGTCGTCGCGGAACACCCGGGACCATTGGCAGCATTGGGCGCCATGCTCGTCGCAGGCGGCTGCGCAACTCACTCGTGAGAACCCATGACGCACAACCATGCAGCACTGTTGGTGCAACCGTGCCGTTGAACAGACGTACCCTGCCATCTAATGAGTAAATGCGAGTAGCAAGTTCATGTTTGAGTAAATGGAATTGACGCCAACAGGCTGAAATTCTCCTTTCCACCTCGCTAGCCTGAGGGCCCTGGAGAGCGAACTTCCTGACGAAGTACTGATGCGAAGCTCCAGGTGAAAATATTTATACCTTCGCGTCGGGGTCGAACGCAAGTTCTGGCCTCGTTCGGGATCGTCGCTGGAACTGGCCGCGCAATAATTCGGTTTTATTTGGACGAAGCTCGATTCCAACCTTGGCGGCCTCGACCCGCACTTCCTGCAACATGAGCTGCGCCTGCTTCTAAGAAATCCCAAACAGACGAGAACCATGAGCATGTCGAAAATTCGCGAGCCGGGCGTCCGCGAAAACTACGAAGACACCGCGCCCACGCTGCAACCGCTTCATCTGCACCACCCGGAAAACAGCTGCCCATAATGAATTGAAAAATAAAGAGTTAAATGGGTCGCCTTGTCTGTCCCACGCTGGATTGGACATTCTCTGCTTTTCCTGTCCGTCGACGCGGCTGCCGCTTAGCTGGCGCGCAGGTGGCGCAAAATTGCCTTGAGCAACGCCTCGCTCGGCCCAAGCTCTCCATAGTTTACATTGCGATACCGTGTCAATGGCTTAAATCTAGCGCTGCCATCGCGCTGGGGTCTGCCATTATTGAGCTTTGTCCTGCACCATTGACACTGTAGAAAAGATGATCAACTGTTTTTTCTTTTTTTTATATAAACAAAAAAAAACCTAAACCCTGATTGGTCTGGCGGTTGTTGTAGATCAGGGGCCCCTTCAAGTCTGTTGTATAAGATGCTGGAGAGTTGTTGCAATAACGGAATAATTTGCTAGGGCGATAATTTTGCGGATGGGATGGGCCGCCAGCTTTGAAATTCACCGCCATGTTCGCTCGTCGCCGCTGCTCTGGCGGATCCGAATCGAATTTCACCGCTCCGCTGAACAAAAAAAAAACTGCATGCACGCTGGCCCACGGCCTTCAGCATCCAAGAGAAAAACAGCGATGCTCTTTCTTCGGCGCTATTTGGTCCCGCCGGCCACGGTCGCGCGAGACGTCGCATTATCACGCCGGTTGTTGTTTGATCACACTTATATGTTCCAAGATTCGCCATGTCGCCGGTGATCCGATGAATGTGTTCATACCGCGCTGCTCTTCTCGAAGCCCGTGCATCTCTGCGAATTCGCCCTGTCTCGGAATTTCCATGGGTGGCATCTTCTCGCGGAATCTCTCGTCGCTCGTTGACCATGGCTTGCAGGTCGTCTTGCTCGCGGCCCCGCGCGCCCCAGTCTCTCGCCTTCGCTGGAGGACCGTGACAGGTGAGCAAGAATAGCGTTTAGCATGTCTGCGAGCTGCGTGCATTGAGCACCCAAAACCTGGACCAGATTCGCGCGCAGTATCTCGTCGCCGACGGCGCTGGCAAAATCCTGCTTGACTGGGGGTGGCCATGTAATTGAACTCTGTGTTGTTTGATATTCGGCTGCGGTCGCGGCGGTCGGGGGCGCGGCCGGCCGCGCAATTGCGCCCCGCGCGCTCATCTGTGATCAGACACCATGCCCGGACATCTCTCTACGCCGCTACCCCACACAGTGCGCCAAAAACGCGCATCAACCACGATGCAATCGATCTGGCCAAGTCGCTTGCTGGGCCCAACGCGCGCCATGCACTGGCTCGATGGTTTTTTCAATTTCGCACTCGCCAACGCCACCTCGAGAGAAGATGCCAAATTCTTCACCCACCGCCCCCGCGCGCTGCTAAGTCGAATTCCGTACTTTCCGCCTGATTAAACATTTGTCTCAGTCCTCGTGTTCGCCAGCTTTGGCATTGCAGTCGGCACCCATAATGAAGCGCCGTCTATTCTGCCGGGCTTCATGCAGCACGTCGCCGATAGCGTCGCACGCGCGCTTCGCGCGGTGGCCCCGACAAGGCGCGCGGGGAAAATAAGCCTCTGTCAGTCGGCGTCGCACTTTACGCGTCATAATTTTCACGCGCGCGCGTCTCTGGTCAGCCGGCATGAACTTCAAAGAAGAAGTACGCCAGCGAAGATGCAAAATAATGGCAAATCCACGGACCCCATCGCCATGCCCCGACGCGGCAAAAACTGCCCATCTATGGCGAGCAACGATTTTGTCGCGATGCATCCCATTGCCTCGTTCAGTAGCACAGCATCCCAGCGCTTGCCAGACATATCCAAGAGAAGCTCGCACAATCTATCATCGGCGGCCAGCCCTCTCACACTCATGTGAACAATTATGAATCACCGTTGCGGCGCGGCGCCCCATCGCTGCCCTGCCCGCGCCGTAATACACCCGGAAACCGACGTTGCTGGAAGTCGCGGGGTCGGCGCGAGATGCCCGAGTCGAGAACGGCCCATCGCTGAAACTGCACGTCCGGGCCGTTCCCTCTGCGAGGGCACTCGCGGCAACACCTGTCGTGGAAGGAGGGGCGCCGAAGGGGTCAACGACGCGAAGACAAGTGGGCGCGTCACCGCGACCACGCTCGCAACTGCCTCGGCCGCCCCCTCTGGCGCAAAGTCGCTGGAGAAGCTGGAGGTCTGATTCGAAGACAGGAAAAAAGGACGGGGTAATCTGACCTGCGAGGTTGGGAATGGCCCTGCTGATCAGCCCCAAAGGCAAGCGCGGGCGAAGCACGGGATGGGGAAGCGAGAGTCAGCGAAACAAATGTCGTCGACGGGGCTCTTGCCCGAACATCGCTCGGAACACCGCAATGTGCGTCAAAGTCTGCTTCAAGGCATTAAGGAGAAGCGATAGCGAGCACGAAGGCGTAAGTGGGTGAGTGGGCCTTTGCACTAGAAATAAGTTCTCGTTCTGGCACGCATGGAAGTGATCTGCAATGGAGCCGCCAATCTCGACTCCCCCGCCACTTCTCATGAACGCCTTCGCTGATCCTCGACGTCGCTGCGATCTTCCCGCCGTGGTCGACCTCCCCCCGACGCCAGCGCCCCCCCTTGATATGCACGACGCCCTCGCCCCAAAAGATTCGCGCGACTTCCTGCCCGCGGTCTTTGCCCATTGACCGGTGACTCAGCTGCCCCAACGTCTTGTCGATAATGCGATCTCCATACATGCTGTTGCTGGTGAACCAGGCTCTTCCCACATGACAGGAACTCCGCGCCCTTCTGCATCTTCAAGAATCCAAGTTTCATGGGTTTGCTCAGGTTACGTCGCGCTCCAAACTTCGACGAATCGACGACCGCGAAGACGCCCGAATCCTTATCATTCATGCCTGCACGCTCAACTATTACATGCACATGCGAAATGGTTGTTTCCTCATCCTCCTCGCCATCCGATTCCCCAGCTAGCACTTGCAGCTCCCTCTCTTCATCTGGCAGATGGTGCGCTGGGGGCTTCGCTGTTTCATTGTTCACGCGCTCTTCCATAGCGTCGCGAACAACATCCTCGACAACCGAGCATGAAGCATATAAGGCCAACTCGTGTCTCATACCATCCACCTCCACCTCAAACGAACCCATCCGTTACGACTTCTGTCACTGCCTGCATTGATTCCTGCGCCTCCTCCTTCGCCTCCGGAATCATGATTATGACGACCGTCATGTCCGTCTCCATATGTTTTGAAAATCAAAGTATTAAGAACCGATCGGGAAACATTTTCTCGAACGGCTGGAAACATTCCGGAGAGGCACTGAGAGATGTGTTCTCCATCATCCGCTGGCCCTCGAGAGAGTTTTCGACTTGACTAGGCGCTGAACTTCGCGCGCGCGCTGGCCCCGACCTGTCTGCTCGTGCCCGCTTATCTGCGCAAGCAACCACTCCGGCGACTTCATGCCCTCGCTGAACTCGTCAACAATGCGTTCGTGAATTTCCAGGGTCATCGCCATAATCGGACACTTCTCCATCCAGCGATAGTAACGTTCATGGATCGAAGGCCGAAGCGATGTCTGGGGCGCGCCCATTACACTCATGATCGCCATCGGTTCGCCGCGAACGTCG